CTCTCAGCGAGTAGTAGTCGTCGAATTCCTTTCTCCTAACAAACCAGCCTGGGAAAACGAAAGCGAACAGAATGGTGGCGGCCAAGCGTTTCCCATCCCACCTGGACCATGACTGTCCAGTTTATCAAGAAAGCATCAGGTTCTGATAGTGATGTGTTGCTTCGCACAGTAGACCTGAAACCACACTGCAACCGTTTTGAATCAGAAGTCGACTATTTATTCATTACTTCTTGGTCGGTCACAAGAAAATCTTACGGAGTGACCCCTGGAGGGGAGACGCGCAAGTCAATCGTAATTTGTCGTGTTGCCGCGCGCGGTTTGTCATGCGTTCATGCGTAGCAAATTCCAAATATGCATTAGTTTGTCGATTGGAGCAGCTATATTTGAAGCAAGGCAAGACTCTATGACGTCGATATCAATTTTTTTCCATTTCACTGACACCCGTATTCGAACAGCCAGGCAGGAAAACTCGTCTGTCGGGCGCGGCGTCGCTCGCCACGCCCATAGGCGCGGCATGTGCCCACCTCATCATGCTATTGCTTGGGCTTAATGATGCAAACTGAACAATCAACGTACTAGTTCGCTTAAAAAATGAACTGGTGTACAATTATCTTATCACTGGCCATAATAAAATATTGAACATGAATTTTCTTTTTTTTGTAAAAATAATCGGCGCAGTTCGGCTTGGAAGAGGCGCCAGATGGTTCTTAGCAAAGCTTGTATAAGCCACCTTGTGAAGACCTGTGAATTCCTGTGACAGTAGCGGCTCACGCGCCCCATTTTGCAGCTTCACAAGAGTTTACAAGTATCACAAATGTGAGAACCATTCAAACAGTATTCAGTATGAACTGATGAAAGGAACAACAACATAATGTCCCCTCCAAGCCGAACAGCGCATAACTAGCCATTTGATTGTCTTATAAAATATATGAGCGGTAAAGAGTGTTTGCCCAGTTCAATTTGTTCTTTTAGTATGTCACGTGATCAAGCAAGGAAGATGTACGCTGGTGACAACTCTGCAAATGTTCAAGATTCTTGCCCTAAATGCCCTTGTGTCGGCTTATTCACTATCAGCACTTTATATGGATGGTGTCAAGTTTAGCGACACACAGGCTACAGTTCAAGGATTACTTTTAGCGGCTTGTTTCCTCTTTGTATCTCGCTCCAAGGTGACTGTTCAGTTGTAGTTTTAACTTGTTCCATGATAACCGCTTTCCAGCAGTTCGCGGTTAAAAAGTTATCACAGAAGCGTTGGGCAATATATTTGCCCCAGCCAGAACACAAACCTGGGCCTCACGAGCAGTAGTACTAGCTACGACGCCACCATGATTGCCGTCTACATTCTAAGCTTAATGGAGCTAACCATGAGATAAGCTATAGCAAAAACCATTGAGCTGAGAGGGCAGAAAGCGGCCTCAGTGATGTCCTAGTTAGCACGCTGGCTTGCTGAGTTTGAAGTCCAGGCTTGAATCCTGGATGGACTATGTTTTTTGTAGGGGCACTTCGGCTCAGTGGGGCACAAAACGGCCCTAAACAGCTCACCTTGTGAAAGCCTGTAAACACTTGTAACTAAAATGGCTCAACCCTACCATTCAGCAGCTTTACAAGAGTTCCCAGGTCTTAATAGAGTGAACCTGTCACTAAACATGAATTAGCATCAGGAAGTAGCGGAAGTACAAAATGCCCCTCGCAAACCAAACAGCGCCTCATAACTCAGTATTCTTGTGGTAATATTGTTAGGCTGTAATATAATGCCCATATTTATTCTGTGTTGCAGCCTCTGAAGACGCTATCCAAGCAGCGACCGTTAAGTAATATCTTCAACGCCTATACGCTTTTAACTGTAACCGGTCAATTTATTGTTCACTTTGGTTGTTTACTGTACGTTGTCAACAATGCTCATGCAGCTTCTCCAAGGTGGGTTGCCTTACATATAGTGCCAAAGAGGTCATGTTGGTGTGATTCCACGGAAACTTGGTACCAAAGCGTTACTGCAGTTGAGAGAGGCTGCGCAGGTGGAGCGGTTATAACTCAAAACTGCGCCCTTTCGCAGGAATAGTGGTCATTTTCTTCTCCCTAAGACCAACCCCTAGAAGAGTGCCGACGACAGAGTCGGCGGAGCTCCTCTCGGGGCGCTGGGAACGGACTCAGTCGCGCTGTCACCCTCAACTGCAGTAGCGCCGGCATTGTTTGGCGTATGATGCTGCTCGCTTGTTTCGAATTCGCAGCTTAATTCAATCGATTTTCTTTGAAGACAGGAAAAAGTGGATCTCGAGGCCAAATTCACGCCAAATATTCTGAACACTAGTGTTTATATAATTTCTATGGCATTGCAAGTGTGCACTTTTGCGGTGAACTACAGAGTAAGTCGGAAAGTCTCTTTAGCGTCAAGGCCTAATGGCTACTTTTAAATTTCAGGGTCGTCCTTTCATGGAGTCCTTATTGGAAAACAAGGCGATGCTTTATAGTGTACTCCTTTCGGGAGCATCTGTATTTATGTTAGCTATGGGTGCTTCCGATGATGCCATGAAACAGTTTGAATTAGTAGTGCTACCGCTAGAGGTTTGCCACTTTCCGCTACTTTACTTTTTTGAATTTGCTGTGGGCGGAATCGGCGCGGTGTCTCAAAAGACCGCTCACTATCCATCCGTTCAGCTGGGTCTCAGCTGGGTCATATAGGTTAAGTTCTTATTTTCAGACCAGTCATATGCTGAAATATTGGTAAAGCCAGAACGCCGGATGAGGTTGAGTGCAAAAAGCCCCTCCGAGCCAAACGTCGCCCAACGGCGACGTTTGGCTTGGAGGGGGTTTTGCACTTTTGCTAGTTATCTTTGCCATTTCATGTTCACCAATAGGTCGCACTTTGGTCAGACCGGTAAACATCTGTGTAGCTCGAAGCTGTACGAGTGAACCGCTTTGGCGACGGCAATTTACAGGTGTTCACGTCGTCGCCTGTATGATCTTCGCTGAGCACCATTTAGTGCCCTTACCTAGCCGAACAGCGCTGCCGGAATTACCATGACGTCTTCTAAACTATGTCATACTTTACCTGTTCTGGAGGGATCGGGAAAATCCGCTATTTCGGAGATTCTTCGGATGCGAATATTAGATGGAAGACACCCCGCGATAATGGGCGAAGTTGAATTGGGTTGCCGTTGAAGCCTTGTGGATTCTCCCGATTCTCCAGAATGAAAGACGTAGTTACTCTATGCGCGCGCCCTCTCGGATCACGAATTCTCCACATTCGCAAGGTACAAACGCACGTTCTCTTTGGGCGGTGGTGGTTCATAACCGCATAACTTGTCTGTAAGTGGGCGAAATGAGGAAGAATGCCGGCCTATTACTTGTAAATTCGTTTGACCTACGTATCGGTTACGGTCGGACCTTTGGGGAATCGTCGCTCCAGAGATGGAGACGTCGTGTGAAGGGGAGACCGTCAGAGACGACGATATCATCTTGGAATGGAGCGATGCATCAGTAGACAGAGCCCAGTGGTAGTTCTGACTCTGCCCATTTCTCCGGCGTGGAATGTGTCTTTGGAAGGCGGCGATTTTTTAGCCCAACTGAACAATACCGAAGCTTTCATACTTTTTAACGTTCAGTTTTGCTTTCGGAACTACGCTTATATGTTACCACAAGAATTCTGAGTTATAGGCAAAAGCCTGACCCCAGGCGGGACCCGCTCTTCAGCTTTCCGTGCAAGTGCGCTACCACGAAGGCCGCTCTTACTGTCTCAGCTTGAACAGCGCGCTACCGCGGAAAGCTTGAGGTGCGGGTCTGAATCCCGCTTGGGGTCTGACTTCTGCCCATAACTCAACATTCTTGCAATAACATTCGGAGCGCAAAATTTGGTGCTAAATAACACATATAACAACTTGGCGGAGGTGGTGTAGTGACAAGTGGCGCGCTTACCACTCGCGCGGCGCCGGGTTCGAATCCCGGGTCGACACCCGCCCAGGCCAACCAAGCCTTCTACCCTCCGGGGACGGTAAATTGGTACCAGATTCGTCTGGGAGGATAAAACACTGACTTGTACATCGGCTGGCCACCGCAAGTCATTGTATAGGCCACATCGCATTCAATAAGCCACTACGATTCTGAATGGAAGTAGAATGCGTGCCGCATCCCACAAAGGGATTGATCAACGGCGAAGACTTTATCCTTTATCCTTTTTATATAACAACTTCAAAATTGTGACCTTTTCAGCTCCGGGACATTCTTGTCTATTGTGTTGCTTTCGATCTCGTCGCTTGCTACACTATTGATCGAGTTCTGAATTTTCTCCTAGGGGATATGTTCTAAAGGTTTGGGCGTGACGTGTACAGCTGCGTTGTGGCCATCTAAACTATCTGTGATTTTTCTCAGTTATAAGTGGATTGAATTTGTCTCATTGTTAATTTGTTATTTATTGTTACACCATTTTGAGTACGAGCTGTAAAATTAACTTTAATTGTTGATGTGGTGGCGTGACCGTCGTTTTCATCCAAAGTTTGCTTCGATTGTCTCACTCGGTGTTTGTCGTAGAAACACAATGTAATAAATAGTGCGTGCTTTATGGTGTTGATATACAGAATCCTTGTCATGGTCGGAAGATTTATTTGTATTCTTATTGGATGATGATTTGTAGAATGGCTTATCCGTCCGGGATGGGTGTTGTTGATTGAAATTGCCGCTCATAGTTGGGGGAGGAGGACATGGCAGCACTCTAACGTCCCTTTTCTCCTCAGGGCTGAGGCTCGGCACAATGCAGACGACCAGAGTTGATAACCCCGCATACAGGGAACATCGTACCTCGGAGATCCCCAGAGGGGTCACATTTCTAGCTGGGCGAAGTAAAGGGGTCGTACTTGATTGCTGGAGGGAGGGGATGGAGATGTTATGTTTGCCTTTAAGAAAAATGTTCTGGGTTGCTGACTTCTCTCACTCTCAGTTCGTTTTTCTCGTTCACCGTTCAGTACATTATTCCCCCCCCCTCACACAACGGCAGTTCTTTATAGAGAAGAACTCAGATATCTGAAGGAAAAAGCTGTGGAAAAGTGGTAAGCGATTACGAGAAGGATGGGGCAGGGGGAGGCGCACCAGAGTAGGATGCTCCGGGGCGTGGTCGTATTTTGCTAAATTTTCCCCTCACGGCAGGACGTGCCATGCTCAAAGAACAGGCTACTCGCAGAGAATGAAAGGATTAACGTTGTTCACTTATAATCTCTTTCTGAGCGAAAAATGGAATAATTTCGAGATTATGGGGATCCTTGAGAGTACGATTTAGCCCAAACACTGCCCCGTTGCGAGCCCCTCTCATGACGAATCCTTTAAACTCACGCTCGTTCATTTGATGTTCGAACGCTTTCTTCGGATATGGTAGTCCAGCCCGCATGCATTGAGAAAGTACTACTTTAACAGCTCAAAACTAGGTGAGGAATGGGTGACTTGCTCACGACGAGGCCTCGGTCCATCCACTGCCCACGGCAAGCCGACTTTCATTTCTAAAAGCTTTCAGGTGGAGCGGTTGTTCCGCTACTAGATCACTCCATTTACGTCTGAGAATGAGACATAAGGAGAAAGTGCTGGCACCAACAAGTGGAGACTCGTCCAGTCAAGCCCTTCGTCTTATGTGCACGTATAAGCGCGATTCAGC